AGTGGGTTCACCGGAATAGACCAGCCGTGGACAGTGGACACGGTCCGTAGACGTTGAACGAACTATTGCTCTCTCTCGACTTTACGACGCCATTATTATTATAGCCTCAATATAATACTATTTTTGCGATTATTTACCTATTGTGAGTTAACACTTTTTTTTTTTCAATTTTTACGTTCATTGCGGGATCCCGCAAAACTGGACTGTCGTGTGAACACGCCTATTATGTAATATGAGTGTTTGAAATTGAAATAACAAATTCGTACGGATCGGTTTTTTACATTACACTGCAAACTTGATGTTGATGATGATGTAAACGAGATCCTGCAAAAATCATGTTGTTGTAGGAAAAAAGCCCCAAGTCCTTGAGTAATCAAATTGAGAAATCAAAACTATCGACATTATTTTGACTATCGATACATCGACACCCCTAACACACTAGCCAGAGGGGTCCCAGCACCGGAATTAATTACTTTTTGACATATTCACTTTTATTACAATTTATACGGAATCAAGGGGGGAGGGGGCGTTATACGGCCCAAAGTTGTTTTATTCTTCGAGTAAGCTGTTAAATTACTTATTCTAACTAATCTGCATTGTATTAGAAGTGGGGTTTTATTACTTGGAACAAGTTTGGAATGGATACTATAGATGGTATGGTATACTGTTTTGGAAATTGGAAGGCCGTGAAAGTCACAGCGAAGATTTATCTTCCTTTAATAAGGCATTTAAACTCTTCTACACTATTAAATTGTTCGTGTGATTCCGGCTGAGCTAAACAAGTCAAATAGAGAAGACGACTCTTTCCGTGGATGTCGTAAAAGGTCAAAGGTCGTTTTGAGTTTCTTGCGCTGACTCTTCTCAGATTTAAAGTAGCTAACTCCATTTGTTAAAAAGTTTTAATTGCAAATAAGGACACAATATTTAACTTTATTGTCTGACATTTAGCCATAGGGCGATTGATATGGCTCAATCGGCCCGATGAAATGTGCCTTACGAAAGCTTTGAAAAAAGGCACAGCCAAATCGAGTTCCGAACCAAAAAAGTTGGAATACACATGTCAAGAAAAAAAACACCGTTGCATCATTTTTAAAATTGGAATGACAAATCGGCGCCACCGATTGGCGTGTCCAATCGGCCATTGATGAATGTTCGCGCCCGATATCGCGCGAATCATTTGTCAAGTTTTTAAAAACATTTCTTTTTCTTTTTTTCGCTAATTGAAACGTTTCGTTTTGTCAAATGTTTATTGATGTTCATACAGCTGCATTTTTAGCGGGAATTTATTGAATTTAACAGGATTTTTTAAATCGGAGGTGTTAAAATGATTAATGAAGATGGTTTAAGATGGTCATGGGAGTCTGAAATTAAGTTTCATTTGTCAATCGGCTCAATCGCTGTGTAAGTTTTTTAATTTGCTGATTTTATTTTGAACTCTCTGTGTCCACCATTGGCTTCTTTCAAAAAGTCAAATTCCATTGTATTTCGTTTTCTTTAGTTTGTTAGGTTCAGGGAAAAACTTTAATTCGTTATTTTGTTTTGTCAATTGATTAAAGATTTGATCTTAATTATCAAACATAAGGAAGATTACTTTATCCTAATATACATAATGAAATTCTAAGCAAGTTGTACTTATATTTAGAATGGAGAGTTCTAATTTCAAGCAGATGCGTATTGCCTTTGCGTATTCGCGTCCGTCCAATGAATGTGATTTTCGACCGCCGAACGTTCCGAATTTCAAATTCATATTTGGAATGAATATTCAAACGGTGCCTTGTTTACATTTAAATTCAAATATTTGCATTTATTCCGAGTTCGGAACTTTTTTGGCGCGCTTTTTGACAGCGCCGCCATATTTGCAATGCGAATGTCAATAGGGCGTTTTATTTTTTCAATTCAAATGGTTTGATTTAAATATTGTGTTGCGTTTCGTTATTTGTTTATGTATAGTAACCCTTTGCTGACTTCACACGAAGTTTTGTAGTATTTTAATATGTATTGTGTGGTTAGTGATGTCTTTTTACAATGGTATGACATGGGATTGACATGTTTGTTTTGCATGCGCATGCAAATAAAACTATTTTGGCATTGCATAGAGACTTGAGACATTTTGAATAGGATAATGATAAAAAATGACAAAAATAGATATGAAGTTAACCTAAATCTGGCCAGCGTGGGGAGTGTAAGCCAAATCCTCCCTTTACATTTGGTGAATTAGACATTTCGTAAAATCCTACAGTAGAGACTAAAATACTAAATAAGTTTTCTTTGCGAAATTGCACGCCCGTATTCACAAACATTACTATGAGGTCTCACATTGCATTGCTCATAAGATAGGCCCCCTTAATTTAATTTATTGTCCGTGGTGCATAATCTTTTCTTAAAGGTTTTAAACCTTTGTTTGTCACCTGTCATCCGCTTTGCAATGGAGGGAAGTCGAACCTTAATTTCGAACTCCTCCTATGTTCTTCTGATTAATTTCGTTGCGGGTCCAATGACAGTTTAACTTTCCCCCGGGACAAACTTGACCTTCATTGGTTGGGTTTTTGTGGCGGTCAAGCTGTAGATCCTGGCTACACAGGAGTTGCAGTGGTGGGAACGAGAGGTGGGAGTAGTCCCGTTATGAGGTCTTACATTGCGCGTGGACGCACGGGGTGACACACGAATCAATCAAAGAGCTCTATTCAAAACTGTGTCTTCGATTTACTGCTTTACTTATGCAAGCATCGTTTGTGAATACGGGCGTAAGTCTAGGTATTAGCACGTACCATACGGAGTGTTTTAATACTGTATAGTTAGGGAGCTATCAACGTGTGAAGCAATAGTGAAACATCATTCATTCATTCGTTCACGCCCGCACAGTGGGCTGACACGTGATATTGTTGGTCAAAAAAATAAATCAGAATCTTATTGCACAATGAGGGTTCCGTAGAGGCTTCATTCTTACGCTTAAACATTTTTCTTTATCTTTCCTGCCTATCTGTCTATGTATGTTTAGATTTTTAAAACTACGCAACGGATTTTGATGCGGGTTTGTTTACTAGATAGAGTGATTCAAGAGGAAGGTTTTTAAGTAGGTTAACATATTACAGGATAGAATTTTGTAATGCCACCTGGAGGGAAAGTACTATAGATAGGAAATTTTACTCAAGGAAAACAGGTGCAGTCCTGTTGTCCCCCCTGCTTGGCCCCCCTGGGGGAGCCAACAGGATTTCGAAATCCTGTTGTCCCCCCTGGCTAGGGGAGACAACAGGACTAGATTTTCAATCAATGATTTGAGGACTGTTGTCCCCCCTGGCAAACATTGGGTATTTAGAAGCCATATATTTTTGTAACATTTAAGAAGTTCTGGAGTACCTGACTAAATGCCATATTGCCAAACTAAATACCTTAACGTATGTCAAATAATAATTAATATTTTGGTAACGAAAAAATATAAGTTGTTGGTAGACCTACCGGTAATATTCGGACTGGAAAACTTATATTTTTAAGCCCCCTGCTTGGCCCCCCTGGCTCCCCCAGGGGGGCCAAGCAGGGGGGACAACAGGACTGCACCGGAAAACATAGCTTTATGTCTGAAAAGAAAAAGAACTACTTACATTCAAATATTTCCAAAAATTTGCTTGCCACACCCGGGAATCGAACCATGTGAGACCTCATAGTAATGTTTGTGAATAGGGGCGTAAGACACTGCACACAATTTCTACTCTTTTCCTTTCGTGATACGGAACCCTAAATAATGACAAATATCTATTTTTTTTTCCAAAGTCACACAATACGTAATAGATCTGAACTGTCATCATCATTATTGTAGAAATGTTTGAAAAAAAACACTAATAGGGCGGTTTTTGGTAGCCATTGTGAATTGATGATTATGGTTGTATTGTTGTGATTTTGTTTATTAGTTTTGTTTTTTATTTGGGCTTAGTGTTTTTTAAGGAAACATGATTAATTATAGTCATACTCTATGGCTCTTATAAAGAAAGACTATTATTATTATTCTGTTCAATGGTGCGTATTTGAAGCACACTGGTTTCGCCAATGTCGATGGCTTAAAGAGACACGATGGACAGTAGATTTTGAAGTTTGCCCGGTGATAATTAAAATTAATTCATTCTTCATTGAGTTCATGCGCGTTGAACACTTGTTTGTAAATTGAAATTTAAATGGAAATGACAAATTAGACCAGTTTTAAACGCTTGTTTATCATTTTGTAATAATGCTATAAGTATGTGTAGTAATTTATCTATATTGTGTGATTTAAAGAAGTCGGACACAAGTCGTGTAGATTTTATGATTCGCCGTAAGAGATAATCGAACCAACGGCTTAACATGCCCCCGAAGAATGAAATTCAAACAACAAGGTTGATCAAGCCAGCAGTGTTCCACTGACAACACTTAACTCGTTATTTTTCAATGGTTTTCTATCTAAGAATCGATCTCAGTCGAGCCGACATCCGCTGGTACTAAAAATGAGATATTCAACCCTTCTTTTTACCATTATAAAAGCAGCCGACCGTTACCATAAAAACTCGTATCGAATAACATGTAAAGGCATAAAATAATGGAAAAAATCCACGATTCGTGTGCATTTTTCTAACGATGCCCCGCCTCCTAACCATCAATATCGGAGGTGTCACCCGCACAATGCTCCGTATCCCCACATTTAGAGCCAAAAATACAACTTTTTTCGCCAAAAAAACGGAATGATTTTTAACAAAAACACGCGTGCAAAATATACTGTTATGCTATTTTGGCCCTCGCCCTAATGATTATGGCTGTTATTATGACTGTAGGTTATAAAATGATATTTTACAATAGTTTTGGGGAAATCCTTCTCTTAATTTCAAACTTAAATAAAGTACTGATATGAATTTCTATGGGGATTTCTATGGATACTGTCAGAATGATGATGACAGCTCAATCAAATTAAAGATTTTTATGGAAATGTTATAATTTGAAATCATGGAGTATTAACTAACGTCGTCTCTCTTCCACAGGTAAAGATCTGGTTCCAGAACCGTCGCATGAAGTGGCGTAACTCGAAAGAGCGGGAACTCCTTGCCTCCGGAGGGTCTCGGGAGCAGACCTTGCCCAACAAAAACAATCCTCACCCTGACCTCTCTGATGCTGAGGCTGACAAGCCCAAGATGTCGCCGCTATCGCCCATACAGGACGACCAAAGCGACGACATGAAGAGCAAAATGTATGCTGCATCTTCGAGCTGTCAAAATGACAGTTACAGGTACGAAGACAAAATGGCCGCTGGGCTCTTTACGCGGGAACAGCAGTTTTCAAACATGGACGACGCAGATGACTTTGACAGTGACGCGAGCGCATCAGATGAAGAAATTAATGTAACATGACGTGTTTTTGCGTAGAATTTTTGTATATTCTAACGTAGTGTTAATATTATTATAGTTTGTATATTTCCTGATCGGGATTTGTAAGGAATTATTTAATAAAATTTAATTATGAATATTGACGAATAGGTATGTAAAATTGAACTACGCTGAATTACTTACCAAAACTTGGTAAATTTTGTTTTGCAGATTTTTTGTGTAAAAATATTGTTACGCTTTGTGAAATTAAGCCACTTATCTTTTTATTTAATGAAATTACATAATATTACCAAAATTAAAGTCAAAACAGGCCAAATATTTTATGTTTCGTTTGTAAATATAATTTGTTAAACTAATGAAACAATTACTTAATTAAACTAATTAATTATGTACCTACTTTGCATTTCATGTGCTTACTTTAATTGCAATTTATTAACTGAAAATAAGCACTAACTGTAAATATTAGGTTAAGCATCAAAGTAGTGTGATTAATAGATTTATTAAGGCATAATTTCCAATATAAAGTGAACACTGTTTGTATCTCAAAACTTATTTTAAAAATCCGTCCCACCGTATTTTCATTTAAACTCAAGGCAAGACAACAGAGTGATAGTGAGCACGACTGTCGAATAGACATGTTGACACCACCAATCAACTGACGTACTTTTTAAAACTGTCAAAATAAAACTCTCCCATAGATTTTGTATGGCACTACAAGCAAGTGACGTCACTATTTTGTCAACTCAATCAAACTACTTTTTTCAATTACAATGCGAACAAAAATCTTAATTTACAGATAAATTTAAAATAAATTAAGTTTTTAAGACCAGAATGAAGGGTCTTTTAAAAAAGTTGTGGTTTCGAATTATTGGGGTATGGTGTCAAACTGTCTATTGTAAAGGAAACGCCATGCGGCGGTCTTGTAGCATTGCTGTCACGCCTGCTGTTTGCCAAAGGCTTTAGTTAGACCTGAATTTGAGAATTTAAGCTACTTACATAAATTTGTAATAACTACACCACAAATCTACTCGAATATCGACACTGGAAAACTTTGTACAAAAGATAAACAGGCGTTGAACACTGATTCAAATTACATTTATCACCTTACATAAAAAAGTTACACAGTTGTTGAACACTGTTTTAAAATGACATTTCCATACTAAACGTCACTTTAAAATACTGTTCACCGATCGTGTAAGTTTTATTAGTAAGGGGGTTAGAATAGAAATGTCATTTTAAACACGTGTTTAATGTCTGCTTAAGGTTTTTTTAAACACCAATTTTTTTTAAAATTTATTGTGTAATCGTATTTGTTCGAAGGTTTCATATTTTATTAAGTTTCTTCGCTAATTATTTATAAACTGTAATAAATTAGCGTTATATTCAAAACTCTGTAAATAATAATATAAGGTTACAGTGATCTCAGATTAATGGTAAAGACTTCATAATTTAATGTGCAACTAAAATATTGTGTATAAATGTACGTCATTCAATTTATGTCGGAATAAAAACGGTAAAATACGACTTTTCTAGTTTTATTTGTGATACACGGTTGAATCAGATCGAATCAGAAATGAGGAGATCCGTAAACGAACCAAAGTCGCTGACATAGCCCGACGTATTAGCAAGCTGAAGTGGCAATGGGCAGGGCACATAGTACGCAGAACTGACGGCCGATGGGGCAGAAAGGTTCTGGAATGGAGGCCGCGTACCGGAAAACGCAGCGTGGGACGTCCACCTACAAGGTGGACCGACGACATCGTAAAGGTAGCAGGGAAGCGCTGGACGCAGGCCGCTACCAATCGATCAACATGGAAAGCATTGGGGGAGGCCTATGTTCAGCAGTGGACGTCCTGTGGCTGAAATGATGATGATGATGATGACACGGTTGGAAAACTTTTTTACTTACATAAATGCAAAAGAGCAAAAGTTTCTTTAAAATCACAATAAAAAAGCTCTTGGCCTACATCTAACTAGAAAATTATGATCAGGCCAAAGGTGAAAGCGAGCTTCACCAGCAATCCTCAACAACAGAGTAAGTAGGTAACTGGTTTCTTACCTCGAACTATCAGAATATAACAAAACTGTTAAATGTCATCAGTTTTAGAGCAGTCGCCCAGCAGGCGAAGGGTTGTGGGTTCGATTCCCACCTTAGGTAATTAGAATTTTTAAAGTTATTAAAAATTGAGATGCTACTCTTAACACTACAAAAATGTAATAACAGAAATGTTTCTCCCAATAATATATCGCGAAACTACAGTATCTCGTCTAGTAAATAAAAATCTTTAAACTTTTATTACAGGTACTTTAATTACAAAAGTAATAAAAAACTGAGAAACGAGCATACAAAAACATCCTCTTCACTGCATCTGATAAAAACATGTAAAAAATTCCATAGTAATGCGAAAATGTTTTTCCCGAAACACCGCTTCGTGCCAGTGGGCGGCGTAAATAAATATAGATGGCAGCACACGTCAGAAACACGCTACAGATACAAAAACGCGAATGCGGCTCTTGTTTTCTTGTCGCTCTAATTTTAGAGTCGAAATTCGCATGTGTGGTTTAAGTGGTAAAATGTATAAGGGCGTTAGAAATATTTATTTCGCACGCACCTTGGTAATGCTTTTTTTTTGGGAGTATAGTAGTGATATTTTTTCAATATTGTCCAGTAATTCCAGCCTGTGAACAATTTTAAGTAAAACCACAGAATAAATACCAGCACTTACTACGGGACTATTCCCACCTCTCGTTCCCAGTTTCCCACCGCTGCAACTCCTGTGTAGCCAGGATCTACAGCTTGACCGCCAATAACCCAACCAGTGAAGGTCAAGTTTGTCTCAGGGAACAGTTAAACTGTCATCGGACCCGCAAGCACTAGTAAAACCTAGTTATCGGTATGCCTACCTACTGTTTAGTAACTACGGATTTTATGATGATATCATCAAGGTAAGTGTAAATCTTCCTACTAAAATCTGGTGAAAGGGAAACGCCTGCTATTATATTATATTGCTGTCGCGCTCGCACACTCACTGCTGCCGCCCGTCGCACAGTCGCGACAGCAATATAATTACGCGCGAGCGATAAGGATAGGTAGCTTGGGGTCATTGGACGAAATTCTACGTGCTCGGCGACCAGGCTTTAGACGCAGACAGCTCATCCTAGGGGAAGGCCTTTGTCCTTTTGTCCAGCTGTGGACATCTTATGGTTGAAACGAATGGGCAAACGACTAAAAAACCTAATCAATTTGTGTTCTAAGAATATTTGTGTACTAAAATCTGGTGAAGGTTGCGCGAAGTGGTTGAATGCGGGCGGCGCTGGAGCGGTCGTTGTGGAAATCCTTGGGGGAGGCCATGTCCAGCAGTGGACGTCATTCGACTGAAACGAACGAATTGAAATTAATCAAAATTAATTAGTTCATAACGGCGACATGGGCCGTTTGGTGTAGTGGTTCGAAACGGACTAGGTACTATTCCAGAGGTAGCGGGTTCGATTCCCGCACAGTACAAACATTTGTGTGCATGAACATATTTGTTTGTATTGGACTGGGTGTTTTCTATGTATAATAAGTATGTATTTACAAAAAAAAAGTATTTAAGTATGTTTATATCCGTTGTCTAGTACCCATAGTACAAGCTTTGTTTAGTTTGGTACCAGAAGCGCAGTGTAAAATGTCCAAGGATATTAAAATTTATTTATTGGTAAACTTTCACCGAAAGAGTTATTATAAGTATTTGTTTAAAGAACTACCTACAACATTACTACCTAGCTGCTACATAGGTACGTGTGTATCGATTTACTTGAATTTATATTAATTTGTCAGTAAAAAAATTTCGCAGACGTTATTTTCGCAGATCAAAACAGCATCAACTTCAAAAAGTTCAAAAACCAAACACCAAGTCCAAGAAGGTTCGCTACGCAAATAAAAAGCAAACGTTAGTTCGATCGATGGCCGCCAGCCGTTGCGGCGCCACGTGCGTGCCACGCTCCCGCCAAAACTCACGTCAAAAACATCTGCGGTCCGAATACGGCTGATCCCCATTACATGCGTTTATTGCTTGAGATTTGAATAAATAATCTGCGTATTTATTTGAGAGGTATCGTAGATTTTATTAGATTAAGTTGGGTACTAAATTCGCTGACATAGCCCGACGGATTAGCAAGCTGAAGTGGCAATGGGCAGGGCACAGTACGCAGTACGGTCGGCCGATGGGGCAGCAAGGTTCTGGAGTGGAAGCCACGTACAGGAAAACGCAGCGTGGGTGGAAGGACCTTATAAAGGTAGCAGGAAGGCGCTGGATGCAGGCCGCTACCAACGGGCCAATCAGGACATCATTGGGGGAGGCCTATGTTCAGCAGTGGACGTCCTGTGGCTGGAGTTATGATGATACTGGTTGTACGTAGGATTTCTTTAACTAGCCCAGTTTTATACAAACAAAACACTTAATTTCCCTCACAAACCATAGCAAACAGGGCAATAAACATTAAATCAAGTGTGCACAACAAATTATTCTTGTTGAAAACTCGCTCTTATCACAACGGTATAAGACGCAGCGTTTAGCTTTTTAAGCTGTCTGAACAAACATCCATGTCGGAGGCACGACTGCGTTACAATCCTCACAAGTGGTCACGTGACCGGCGCGTGCGACATCTGCTGTGCGAGGGAGATGACAAGTTAGATTATTTTGATTTGATAGCTAATTGGCGGAAGGAGTTAGGGGGATTTGGACGAAGACCGTAGCTATGAAACTTTTTTTTTATCTAGCTTTGGACCAAAAACAATGAGCAGGTATAGGAAATTTTTGTAACAAGTACGGACCTAACTTTTGCAACCTAAGAGGGAGTCTTTGGGCGTCCCACACTGCGCTTGCTGGTACGTGGCCTTTACTCCAGAACCTTGCTGCCCCATCGGCCGTCAGTTCTGCGTACTATGTGCCCTGCCCATTGCCACTTCAGCTTGCTAATCTGTTGAGCTATGTCAGCGACTTTAGTTTGTTTACAGAGCCCCGATTACGGTAACTTTTATAACGTCTACAATCCAGACGCGTTTCTGATTCTGTGATACGATTGGTCAAAACAGCTGACGTACGCTGTTGAACGACCAATCGTATCGCAGAATCGAGAAGCGTGTCTGGATTGTTGACGTTAAAAATTACCGTAAT